GAAGGCGACGGAAGTCAGTAGTCTTTCAAGCAGTCCGCAAACAAAAAATTGTGCGGAAGGAAACCCAGGCCCCCCCATTTGCGGGGTAAGGGCCGCTCGAAGGCCCAATTTCGGCCCGTTGCGGCGGGGAAAATTTGCTCCATTGCTTTGAGTAAAGCTTTTTGCGCTCGGGAAAGACGGGATAAACGCGGCGGGAAAAGGCTGCCGATCTCAAGGGGAGCCCGAGGCGGCCTGTAGTGAAAGGGACGGTGGGAATTTCACATCGTCATCGAGCTCCAGTAATCGCAGTCCCGCTGCGAAGGAAGTCTCACATTCTGTCTGATGGAGCAATGACTCGGGAGGGACTACAAGAATGGCGCTTACTCTTCATTCGAATCAGCCAATGTCTTGGTCTTTCTCGTGCCAGGTGTTGATGATCGCTCACTTGAGATCAGCACTTTAATACTTTGACATTGTACCATCAATCCAAGCCAGCCCTGTCCACTTCGAGCAGGAACATTCATGATCTACTTCGTTTGAGTATATTGCCTGCTACACCATGGTGCTTCCCAAACTCCACGCTTGCGGTGGCAGCCACCCTCGTCGCCCTGACAGAGGCGCTCCTAGTCTCCCGCGCGGCTACTCTCCCAGCCAGCATTCAGCTCATCCGCCAAGCTCCGGCCGGAGACGAGATCCAGCTCCAGATCGCCCTGAAGCATCAGAACATCCACAAGCTTGAGTCAACACTGCGCTCCGTCTCCGACCCTTCGAGCTCACACTACGGGCAGTACCTCTCCAAGGATGAGGTCAATGCGCTCTTTGCTCCATCCAACCACTCAAGGACCGCCGTCGAGTCGTGGCTGAAGGACGCCGGCATCACTGCCGTGTCAACTCGAGGCCCCCTCGTTGATTTTGTTACAACGGTGGCCAAGGCAAATGAACTGCTCGGGGCGGACTTTGCCTGGTTCGACGTCGAGGGTCACAAGAAGCTCCGAACGACGGAGTACTCCATCCCCGACACGCTCACGGCGCACATTGACCTCGTTGCGCCAACGACATTCTTCGGCCGCACCAAGTCGCACCGTATGATACCCGACGACGAGACCTCCGAGCTCGACGCCCGACAAGCCCGCAACACGACGACCTGTTTGTCCGTCATCACGCCCGACTGTCTCGAGGAAGCATACAACTATGGCAGCTACAAGGCGGACCCCGCGGCTGGCAGCCGGGTCGCATTCGCCAGCTTCCTCAATCAGTCGGCCCGCCAGGAGGATCTGACGCAGTACCTGAACACGTTCAAGCTGCCGCCCCGAAACTTTACGACGGTCCTCATCAACGGCGGCGAGGATCACCAGGACCCCAACGGCGACATTGGCGAGGCCAACCTCGACGCGCAGTTCCTGGCAGCCGTGACGAAGAACCTGCCGCTGAAGCAGTTCATCACGGGCGGCTCGCCCCCGTTTGTGCCGAACCTGCGCATCACCAACGCGTCGACCAACTCGAACGAGCCGTACCTCGACTTTTACGAGACGCTGCTGGCCACGGACGACGAGGGCGTGCCGCAGGTGCTGTCGTCGTCGTACGGCGACGATGAGCAGACGGTGCCGGTCGAGTACGCGAAGCGCGTGTGCAACCTCATCGGCATGATGGGGCTCCGCGGCGTGACTGTCCTCGAGTCGAGCGGCGACGCGGGTGTCGGGGCGCCGTGCCGTGCCAACGACGGCAGCGGGCGCGCCGAGTTCACGCCAACGTTCCCCGGCACGTGCCCGTACCTGACGGCCGTTGGCGGCACGCAGGCGTGGGCGCCCGAGGTGGCGTGGGTGGGCAGTGCCGGCGGCTTCAGCAACTACTTTGAGCGGGCGTGGTACCAGAAGGCGGCGGTCAAGACGTACCTCAAGGAGTCGATCCCGGCCGAGGTCAAGTCGTACTACAAGCACGGCGGGTTCGTCGACTTTGGCGGCCGCGGATTCCCGGACATTTCGGCGCACAGCCTCGAGCCGTGGTACCAGTTTGTCAATGCCGGCAGGCCCAGGCGGACGGGTGGCACGTCGGCGGCGGCGCCCGTGGTGGCGGGCATCATCGGCCTCCTCAACGATGCGCGGTTGAGGGCCGGGCAGCCGACCATGGGTTTCCTCAACCCGTGGCTGTACGCTCGCGGCGTCGACGGCTTGCTCGATGTGACCGAGGGCAAGGCCGAGGGCTGCGGCGGTATTGACTTGCAGAGCGGCAATCCGGTGCCCGGTGCTGGCGTCATCCCATGGGCATCGTGGAATGCGACAAAGGGTAAGCAGCAGCTATCTGGGGGGCCTGATGAACGAATAGATTGGCTGACAGCATGACTAGGATGGGACCCCGTGACTGGACTTGGTCTTCCCGACTTTGAGGCGCTGCGACAGATTGCGGTCAATGGCACCAAGGCATGATCTGGTGCTGCTGGGTTCCCGTGGTTGCGATGTATTTGGAGATGCTGCGAGAGCAAGGTTAGAGTTGAGGCTCACATTCGGTATGGCATGGCAGATGACGGGGTACAAGCGACAGAGGCAATGGGTGCGGCGATTGGGAGGTATCTGCACATGGCCCCACTTGTGTGGTTGGTGACTTCCGCTTGAAGAAGCTACAGCTTGCATGTACAGTCACTCTTTCCCCCCAATGTCAAGCACAGGATCGGGAAAGAAGGCAGACCCGTGATCTGCAGATTTTCAATTCCATACATCATTCGCACCTTGGGCTTGGCATATCTGCGATCAAGCCATCATCTAGTGCACTATTTGATGGTATTCTCTTCCTGTGAAGAAACCCGGACATGAGCTGGCTAAAACCGAGAGGCTGATTGGGGCGTGCGTGACAGTGGTGTGTCTCCACCATACGAACACTCCACTCGGCACAGACAAGGCAGCTGCAGGGCCGCCCGTCATAGCTCCCCACATTTCCCGTTTGGTAGGCACTACCCAGGTAACGAACGCTACTGCGTCAATGCGCCTGACGGGATAGGCCCAGCAGCAGCACGACGCTGACAAACCTCCCCACGCCCGATTCCGCACTCAGACGAATCTTCTCGTCGCCCTCTGGTCGAGTTGCTTTCGCGCTACTGTTCGTGTCGTCGTCACTCCTCCGAAAAGGAAAAAAGGACAAGGAAAAGAAGGAGGGGTTCCCGTCGATTTCACCCAGCTGCTCCCACCCCGATCGTCAGGTCCTCGTCCATCTGCATACACGTGCATCTCGAAGCACTTCGTCATCGACATCATCACGAGCATCCCTATCTCTCGACTCGACTTCAGCCACACGGTTACTGCTGCTGCTGCTGCTGCACAGTCTCGACACTCCGACGCCACGCCCGTCGATGACTGCCCTCGCGGCGGCCTAGCCCCCGCAGTAGCCTCACGACGCCATCGAAGCTGCCGACAACCACAATGGCCAATCCCTTCTACGGAGCGGCGCAGCGGGTCCTGGAGTCCGGGTCCATCACCGGCTACCGTCCGCGCCTCGAGCTTGGGAGCGACTACCTTTCCGCTACCGACCACTTCAAACAGCCATTATGCGGCAACAAAGAGGGCTGGGGGCCTCTGAGCCCCTTCCGATATGACTTCACGCCCTGCTTCATCGACGTCTGGGTCGCCGTCGTCGCCGCCTTCGGCATCGTCTTTGGCACCATGGCCACCGTCTGGCTGCTCAAGAAGACGAAGCCCGCCAACACCCTGAAGGACTGGTCCTTTTACACAAAACAAGCCCTTCTTGTCGTCATCATGCTAGACGTTGCCGTCCAGCTTGCCATCCAGATTGCCAGCTACCCCAAAATATGGTATGGCGACTTCCGCGTGTACACCACCTTTGCGACTATTCTCGCGCTCGGCGTCATCTTCGCTATCCAGTGGCTCGAGCATGGCCGGCTTCGCAACCCCAACGGCGTCGCTCTTCTCTTCTGGCTCTTCCTCCTGATTGCCTTTGCTGTCAAGCTCCGATCCCTCATCTCCCAACAGATGTACCACAAGAACCTGCCGTACTTCATCACATACACCGTCGGCGTCGGTCTGTCCGTCGTCGAGTTCCTTGTCGAGTGGTTGTGGCCGAGGAAGACGACCGCCTACGAGGTCTTGATCGATGAAGAAGAGTGCCCTGTCGAATACGCCACCGTCTTCTCCCAGTTGACCTTCTCCTGGATGACGCCCCTCATGCAATTGGGCTACAAGCAGTACCTGACCGAAGAGGACCTCTGGGGGCTCGCCCACCAGGACACCACCAAGAGCACTGGCGAAGCCTTCGACGAGGCCTGGAAGCACCAGCTCAAGAACCGCAAGGGCCCCTCGCTGTGGCTTGTCCTGTTCCGCGCGTACGGTCTGCCCTACGCCGTCGCTGCTCTCTTCAAGCTTGGCAACGATGTCTCCCAGTACATTCAACCCCAGCTTCTCCGCCTGCTCATAGCCTTCGTCAGCTCCTACGGCGTCGGCGAGCAACCCCAGCCCGTTATCAAGGGTGCCGCCATTGCCGTCGGCATGTTTGGCTGCGCTACCTTCCAGACCGCCATGGTCCATCAATACTTCCAGCTTGCCTTCGTCACCGGCATGCGCATCAAGGGCGGCCTGGCCTCTGCCATTTACAAGAAGTCCATGAAGCTCTCCAACGAGGGACGTGCTTCCAAGTCCACCGGCGACATTGTCAACTTCATGGCCGTTGACGCCCAGCGGCTCCAGGACCTGACGCAATTTGCTCAGCAAGTTTGGTCCGCCCCGTTCCAGATCGTCATCTGCATGGTGTCGCTGTACAACCTCGTCGGATGGTCCATGCTCGCCGGTGTCGGTGTTATGGTCATCATGATGCCCGCTCATGGCTTCATTGCCCGAATCATGCGAAACCTGCAAAAGGAGCAGATGAAGAACAAGGACGCAAGAAGTCGCCTCATCAATGAGATCATCAACAACATGAAGAGCATCAAGTTGTATGCCTGGGGTGCTGCCTTCATGAACAAGCTCAACTTTGTCCGAAACGATATGGAGCTGAAGAACCTGCGCAAGATTGGAGCCACACAGGCCTTTGCCAACTTTACCTGGAGCACAGCGCCCTTCTTCGTTTCGTGCTCGACCTTTACCGTCTTTGTCTTGACCCAAGACAAGCCCCTGACCACCGAAATTGTTTTCCCTGCCCTCGGTAAGCCCCCCCCCCCCGGGACTCCTAGCCTCGCCGAGACCTTACCTTCGGTATTGTGCTGACTTGGGGCCCGCAGCTCTCTTCAACCTCCTGACGTTCCCCCTTGCTGTTCTTCCTATGGTGATAACGTCCATCGTGGAGGCAAGTGTCGCCGTCGGCCGTCTGACCTCCTTCCTGGGCGCCGAGGAGATCCAGCCCGATGCCATTGTCGTCAAGCCTGCTCCTGAGGAAATGGGTGAAGAAACCGTCGTCATCCGTGGCGGCACATTCTCCTGGAACCGCCACGAGTCTAAGAGTGTTCTTCGTGACCTTGACTTCACCGCCTACAAGGGAGAGCTCTCGTGCGTCGTTGGTCGCGTCGGAGCCGGCAAGTCTTCGTTCCTGCAAAGTATCCTCGGTGATTTGTGGAAGATCAACGGCCAAGTCGAAGTGCACGGAAGCGTCGCCTACGTCGCGCAGTCCCCGTGGATTCTGAACGCCACGGTCAAGGAGAACATCATCTTTGGGTACCGTTACGACTCTGCATTCTATGAAAAAACTGTAAAGGCTTGCGCCCTGGTGGACGACTTCGCTCAACTGCCCGATGGAGACGAGACTGTCGTCGGCGAGCGTGGCATCTCCCTGAGCGGTGGACAGAAGGCGCGTGTGGCACTGGCCCGCGCTGTCTATGCCCGTGCTGACATCTATCTTCTTGATGATGTCCTCTCGGCCGTGGACTCTCACGTAGGCAAGCACATCACCGAGAATGTCCTTGGCCCCAGGGGCCTACTGAACACCAAGACTCGCATCCTGGCCACCAACTCCATCTCCGTCCTTCAAGGCGCCAGCTACATCACCATGATCAGGGATGGACAGGTTGTGGAGAAGGGCACATACAAGCAACTTGTGGCTATGAAGGGCATGGTCTCAGATCTCATCAAGACAGCTGGCCAGGAATCATCTGGCCCCTCCTCGTCCAAGGCCAGCTCCAGCCGCTCTAGCACCGCATCGACAACCGTCCTCGAACCTGTTGCCACGGGCCAGGAGAAGGACGAGATGGAGGAGGCTCAAGAGCGCGTCCCCGAAATGGAACCCATCAAGACAGGCGCTTCCACTTCGGCCAAGAAGCGATCCGACAGCATGGCGACTCTGAGGCGTGCTAGCGCCGCTAGCTTCCGAGGTCCCCGCGGCAAACTCACCGACGAAGAGGTTGCTGGCAGCCGCACACGACAGGGCAAAGAGCACTCGGAACAGGGCAAGGTCAAGTGGGATGTGTATTTCGAGTATGCGAAGAACAGCAACCTTGCGGCGGTCGCCGTCTACCTGATTGCGCTGCTAGCTTCGCAGACGGCCAACATTGGTGGTTCGGTCTGGCTCAATATCTGGGCAGAATACAATCAGAAGCACCACGGCAACCCCAAGGTCGGCATGTTCATCGGCATTTACTTTGCCTTCGGCATTGGTTCTTCCCTCCTGACCGTTCTGCAAACTCTCATCCTGTGGATTTTCTGCTCCATCGAGGTAAGCATTGCGTCGCCGTCGCCACCATGATCCGGACGACATCATACTGATACACAACAGGCCTCTCGGAAACTGCATGAGAGAATGGCCAATGCCATCTTCCGGTCACCCATGTCATTTTTTGACGTCACACCAACAGGTCGCATCCTGAATCGCTTCTCCAGGTTCGTGCCACCCCACACTGAGCCGCTTCATTTTCTCGTGGTCGTACTTAAACACCAATCTGCGTGGCGTTTCGAGCCGAGCTCGGTGCGCGCCCCTGATGCACGTTGGTGGATGTCTCAGGCAATGACTGAAAACGCGGGGGAGTGCAACGGCTGACGTTATTCATGCAGTGACATCTATCGAGTGGACGAGGTGCTCGCCCGGACTTTCAACATGCTCTTCGTTAATCTGGCTCGATCCTGCTTCACGCTTGCGGTCATCTCCGTGTCTACGCCGGCCTTTATCGCATTCATCATCCCACTCGCCCTGACCTACTATTGGATCCAGCGGTACTACCTGCGAACGTCTCGTGAGCTCAAGAGGTTGGACAGCGTTAGTCGCAGTCCCATCTATGCACACTTCCAGGAGTCCCTAGGCGGTGTCTCGACCATTCGGGCGTACCGACAGCAGCAGCGCTTTGAGCTTGAAAATGAGTGGCGAGTCGACTCGAACCTCAAGGCGTTCTACCCCTCCATCAGCGCCAACCGTTGGCTGGCTGTTCGTCTTGAGTTTATGGGTGCTCTCGTCATCCTGGCCGCCGCCGGCCTTGCTATCATATCCGTGACAAACCACAGCGGCCTCAAAGCCGGCTTGGTCGGTCTATCCATGTCATACGCCCTGCAGATTACGACGTCCCTCAACTGGATCGTGCGCCAGACTGTCGAAGTCGAGACCAACATTGTCTCGGTCGAGCGTGTCCTCGAGTACGCCCGTCTGCCAGCCGAAGCACCGGAGGTCATCAAAGAGAGCCGACCCCCGGTCACGTGGCCAGCGAATGGCAGTCTTGAGTTCAAGAACTATAGTACTCGCTACCGCGAGGGCCTTGACCTCGTTCTCAAGAACATATCCCTAGATATCAAGTCTCACGAGAAAATCGGTGTCGTCGGGCGGACCGGTGCAGGAAAGTCGTCACTGACGCTTGCGCTGTTCCGCATCATCGAGCCCACCACGGGCAACATCAGCATCGACGGTCTTAATACGAGTTCTATAGGGTTGCTGGACCTCCGCAGGAGACTGGCCATCATCCCCCAGGACGCGGCCCTGTTCGAGGGTACCGTTCGCGACAACTTGGACCCCGGTCATGTACATGATGACACGGAGCTATGGAGCGTACTTGGTGAGTTTTCTCTCGTCACACAAGCAACACATTAGGCTGGAAGCTAATGCTCGGTCATCACAGAACACGCCCGGTTAAAGGACCACGTCAACGGCATGGAGGGTGGCCTCGAGGCCAAGATTAATGAAGGAGGTAAGTTCGCGCGCCGCCGCCTTTTCGCTTTCCATCGGCTTTTGCCATATCCTCGTGTGATTGCTCCTCGCACCCGTCCCCGTGTACCCTGTGAATGACCGAGGCGGCCATGTCGTGTGCATCCATCAATGCTGTCGTGCCTGTCTACTGGGCTTGTCATGATGGCAACGACATGGTGCGTCGCGCGACCACGGACATTGGCTTGGTCGTCATCTTTCACATGCGTCCATCTGTTCCACTCACTGTCCCCTGCATGATCTGCCCTTACATGCAGATGGTCGCAGTCCCGTGCTGTAGCTCCTCTGTCTGCCACGACGAAGTCTCAGTCAGGTCACAGACGGCAGCATTCTTCACTCAGGATAGCGTTGCCCACCACCAACATTAAGTCACTTGACAATGCGCAGCCCACTGACTTGACGACACACAGGCTCCAACCTCTCCCAAGGCCAGCGGCAGCTCGTCTCCCTCGCGCGTGCGATGCTGACCCCCTCCAACATTCTGGTTCTCGACGAGGCGACGGCCGCCGTCGACGTCGAGACGGATGCCATGCTGCAGCAGACGCTGCGGTCTCCTCTCTTCGCAAACCGAACCATCATCACCGTGGCTCACCGCATCAACACCATCCTCGACAGCGACCGCGTTGTTGTGCTGGACAAGGGCGAGGTCGTCGAGTTTGACTCACCCAAGGCACTACTGAAGAAGCAGGGTGTATTCTACGGGCTCGTCAAGCAGGCAGGTCTCGAGACGGAGACCTGATGAGGTGTCCCGGAAATACGCTTGTGAAAGGACGGGATTGGATCTGGTCGTCGCTACGGAGCAGGGAGATCCGCTTGCTCCTTCAAGCGAGGGGCGGGAGGGGAAGGGGGCTGATAAGCAGCGTGGCCCAACGGGTCGTCAGCATTGATCCACTCGTTATCGAGAAGGCTGTCGGGGGAGGCGGGGTGCCGAGACGGATGGTCAAAAGAAAAGAAAAAAGCGAAACCTGTTTTTAGTCTGACCCGTTTTGTATCAAAGGTCTAGCCTGGTGTAAAGCTACTTGTACATACCTTGTCGCGCAAAGGAGCTGGGTACATCTTGCCAGCCCTGTGTTTGAACACGCATATTACGCCCTCGTCAGAATGTGGGCATGAAGCTGCGTATGTTCGCGCGTTCTCTCCACGGCGGGAGAGACCTTTGCACTATGGAGACGAGCGAGGACGCAGACCTCAATACAGCCAGGCTACACACTTGACTGACAACAAACCGGCAGCCATTCGCATCTCCTAGGCTGTGAAAAGGGCGAGTACAAGACCTCGTTGCCAAGAGAGAGCGGCATGACGATGTCTCTTCAACACGGGACTTTTGCTAGCTAGGTCGGAAAAGGGGGGGGGCGCTACCGAGCGCCACACAGGCCATCAGCTTTCCTTCAGTGGCCGATGGAGCAACGATGGGCTTTTCGGGGCGAACTCGCTTGCGTTCAACCGCCCAGCTAGGAGGTTAAACTGTGATTGTCATCCTTCGCTAGGTACCTTACCTTACTTACCTAGTTTGGAGCCAGGCTTCAGGCCGGCAGGCGGCTGGCGGCTGGCGGCAGGCAGCAAGCGGGGGCGTTGTTTTGTGGCTTTTGTCTACCCCCAGCCCAGGGCTAGTCAGCCTCGCGCCACTCAGAGGTCGGATCTTTGACACTTCGAGTTGGTGATGAGCAGTGCGGCTAAGTGCCCGGCGTGCGTGTGACCAGAGGCAGCTAGAAATACATACACAAAAAAAAAAAAAAAGAAACTACTGCGATTAACACATTGCCATGCGAGGCGTGTGCGACATTGGCAGGGCATATCCCTGGGCACCATGGCGTTTTCCCTACCCTCACATTTCAGATCCCGTCTCCCCCCCCCTCCCATGACGACAAGAGTGTCTAAAACTGGGACGTCGCCCGCCCGTCTGCTCCCCCCCGCCTACCTCACCGGTCTCACATGGCGTGTGACATCCGGGTTGCAGAGACAATCGGCAAGAGGGCGCTCGCTGTACTGTACTCAAAAGAAACCACTGGCGGAAGCTCGGGCGGGGGTGGCAGAGACACGAGGTGAAGCATGGCTGCTGTTGTGCAGAACTCTCCCCCATTTTGAGACAAGAAGCATGGATGGGCCGTTGCTGTGGGACAGTTGTCGTCAAGGTGGCACCGATACGGCGCCATGAAGGTGATCGGGGCTGCCAAGCCGCGCCCGGCCGTCGCCTGCTACCTGTATTCGGACATTTGCGTCGCCGGGCTGATGGTACGTATGGATGGCTCGACTAGTAGCTGGGATGTGACAGAGATGACTGCATTAGCTCGTCCAATCCTCACCGCCGGGGCCAAGTTGCCCCAACTGAGGGATGCGGCCCATCGCTGGAGGTGTTTGCTTTCTGATGTTGTCTTCACGCATATACATACGGTGCGGCGACAAGTGACGAGTTCTTCTGGACGAGCGTGCCGAGAAAACCCAGGACGCCATCGGGGAGGTAGATAGACTGACACGCGGCACCAGGAGCGTTTCAAAAACGGGGTCATCAATCTGGCCGGCCGGACGAAAGCGAGCTTGCAGAACGTCTTGCACCAGCGCAATGGTGCCTGGCCCACGCTCAGTATATTACTGTTCGAGGCCGGCGAGCTCAGTCGCACAAGGCGCTGTTCCAGCGCCCTTGTGGGTTTGCATCCTGCGCACTGTCACCGGCCGCACGCTCCCTGGTCCGCGGCTCGGTCAAGGTTCAAGCAATATTAGACTTGCAGGATGTTACATGCAAAAGCCGTGAAGAAACGACTTGACCAGAGACATGGCCTGACTTGACAGGCGGCATTGAGTCACAGGAACAGACTCATGAGCTACCTATATTCCTGACAGCGATACCCTGCGCTGTGCCATTTCGGTACAATAGAATCAATGGCCACCAGGGGTTGGAAAGCTCTCTGCTCTTCTTACCCCCAAATGGCGGACTGTGGCGTGCGCAAAATGCTGTGCAACACACCCTGTGCGACCCCAGAACCTGTCGCTGTCGGAGGTCGGGTGTTTGTACCATGTAAGCGCATGACAGATGCACGGAGCTTCATTTCTGGACTAAGCCGAGAGGATCGGCCGAAGCATCTGATTGCTGGACATGAGCGGGTCTGCAATAGGTAGTATCGTGCAAGGTTCCGTCCGAGGGTACTCACTCCTGGCAAGGTAGCAACGCAAACGCTCTATCGCTCTGCTTTGATCCGACTTGCCCATAGGGCAGAAAGACATCCTCGGGAGTCAAGTCTGTTGAAGCAGCCTATCTAGGATGTCGAAATTCGATGTCACCTCGAGAGTCGATATCAAATTACCTTCGCAGCCATTCCCAGCCGATCACGATGCCCAATATGCCTGGTATGCTTGGCACACCATCTTCACCCCCCCTCCTTTGCCTTCAAGCATACCGATTCGGGGCCAACGGTCCAAATGAATGGGTAGCCTGCATTGAATTGGCGTCAACCAACGGCCTTTGGGAGTCTGACAGCCAGCAAACAGAGCCCGTTGGCTGACTGGCTGTTGACGACCCAAAATGAAAGTGAGAGAAGCAAAATCCTGGCTTTGCCAGGTCTCCATTCCCACTCAGACGGTAACGTAGCCACGAGGCGCCGCTATCCTTGGCGTACAGGGCTCTCCAAGCTGAATCAGCCCCTCGGTATGGGAGTGGCAAGAAGAAGAGGGCATTCTGCTACTCCACCTTCCACTCTCCAGCCATGTTCAACGTAGACGATGTGTTAGGGCTACAGGGGGTGTCAACTCGAGGACAAGCTTCAGCTCCGAGGGGAGAAGCCCAAGGCAAGATTTCAGCGGGGGCTCCGACGGCCCTGTCTAGCTGGGCGATCTAGACGGTGTTCCCGAGAGGCTTCGCGATGTCGTGTTTTTTTTTTTTTTTTTGTAAATTTTGGTCTGGAGCACAGGCCTAACTCTGCGCACGTCGGAGGTGTCGAAAAAGAGTTGAGATGACAGGCGGCTATGAGTGGAGCCCCCGCTGCGAAATATGGTAGTAGAGGAGATTGTGGGGAAAGTCAGAGGAAGAGCTGAAAAAAAGGGAGCTAGGAATTCCATCTGAAGGGATCATCGTCCGCTGCAACGGCGACTGACGCATGGTGAACTGACTCGAACGGAGACAAACGAAGACTTTGGAGGGTATGATGGGTAATCGTCGTGCCTTCGCATCGGCGATCCATCCAGCGTTTGGTAGGAGCAGGGTTCCTCAGGTACCAAGCATCGGGCAGATGGCGGCGAGCTCGAAGCTGAAAGCAGTGGAAGAAGGCGAGCGAGCGTGGTTGTCTAGTGTTCGGGTCACTTGTTTTGTCCATCCCAGCGGGCGTCAGTCGTATGCAGAACTGGTCGTGTTCATCAACAGGCACAGTCCCCTTGCATGCGGAAGATCCGGAGACTGTACAGGATGGATGGTCTACCAAGTATTACTGGTGCACGTGGAAACACCACGGATGTGCGGTACATGCTTCGATGACAATGGGGAATCGCCGTCTGTGCCAGCCTGACGACCATGTGTGGAGGCTTCAGGCGCAGGCCGTGCAAAAGCCCAGAACCGTTTGGTTTGCTGTCGGGGCGGCCGGATCACCGGCTGCTGTGCTGTTGTGCGACGTGAAGTACGTCTGAGCTTTGCTGCGGGCTCGACTTTGACCTCGAAAGAGTGCAGCATTGGCTCTCGTAGGTAGGCAGGCATGCCAGGTCGGGGCGATCATACTGCCATACATAGACAAGAGTGAGGATGAGATGGGTGTGAGCATGGGTCCAGGGGGGTTGAACTGGCAAGATCCTGGGCAGCGCACGGGGGGTGTTTGAGGCCCTGGCATAGGCCAATTCGAGTTTCCAAGGTTGAGATGTTGATGATCGACAGACGTGATAAGAGGTGCATGCTCTTTGACTTGAACTTCAGGTACCTGCGGGAAGTAGATGGGACAGATGTACCTTGGTGGCATGCAATGCAGGCGGACACTTAACCCCCCCCCCCGCAAACGAATTGAGGGCAAACACCAAGGCCGGCACTTGACCGCGCCAGTCGAGATTTCCACCCGAGTACATGTAGCTGATCATTTCACGCCGTGAGGGACCTGCCTCCGACACCTTGCCTTCCCGAGAGATGGGTATTACATGTAGACAGGACGGTTGTGGCTATGAGAGTCGGAAGGAACGATCCAACAGAGCCAAACCGACAGGGCCTGCTTGCCGTGGTGTTGACGGCCAGTCGCCCCTGCAATGCCAACTTGGCTTGCCCCGCATCCAGTGGGTGAGCATCTTCCCTCGCTAAGAGGAAAAAGGTTCAAGGTGCTATAGGTGAGATTGATCGAAGGGGGTGGGTTGAAGGGTATGCTGCATATCGAGTCCAGTCAGGTAAGGTCAACCTCGAAGCCGAGGCTTGGGGGGTCTTGGGGGGGACCAAGTTCTAATCAGTTATTGGATGATGAGATGGCTTGTGAAGTCGGGTCATATCCATGCTCGGTGGGGGTGCTCCAGATATTTCGATTCCTTCCCACCTGACTGCGTTAGCCTCCTTCAGCTATCCATGGGGATCTCCTCTGAGCAGCCGTGACACCCGTGCGCCTCTCTCCCTCCCTGCGTAGAACTACTTACTACTAATGAGATTGCACTGGATCTCTGTCATATGCTGCGGCTCTGCCCGTCATCGTTCGGGCGAGCTCTGGCCAGGGGTGTGGAGGGGAGAGGGGGGACCAGAGGAGAGGCCGTAACAGAGTCAGTCGGCCAAAAGCCCGCTGTATCCACTGTATCGGCCGACAGAGGACCACTGACGGGGACAAGAGGGCCCCAATGGCCCCCGATGCCTGTAGCCAACCCACCTTAAGGTTCAGGGGAGTGTAGGGAAAGAAGCCCTTGCCGTCGCTTTTGCTCGTAAAATGCCTAGCTTCCCTGAGTGGTTGGTTGAGTAACAGCACTTTAGGCAAGACCTGCCCCGCCCCGCCCCGCCCAAGCCCACGCCCACGCCCACGCCCACGCCTAAGCCCAAGCCAACCCCCAGTAGCGACCCCCACCACCTCGTTCTTGCCCTGTCGTGTTCCGCCAGGGTGAAGTGCGCCAAGACCCAGGCCAGGCAGACAGGACCTTGACTAGGGGATGTGCGCGGGCGCTGGGGCCCTGAACGCCTGCGCCTGGAGCTGGCAGAGGCAGAAGGGCAATTCGCACCTGCCTGTGGCCATGCCCAGGTAGGTACCATGTAAGGTAGCAGGAGCATGCGTGGCCGCCACCCTCACTTGTCTACCTTACAGGAGAGACACCATTCACGCAACTCAGACATACAGCTTGAGCGTGGGCTCCAAAGATCTACACGGCCATGAGGCCATCGCCACTTGGTTCAGCCCTTTCTTTTGTTAGTATTATTATTTCTTCCCTTGGCCTATCTGCTCGAATATCAAAACCACATACGTGTGGTCCGAACACTCTTCGATGCAATCGAGAGATGTCCGGCCGGTCCAGAAATTATTCTTCCGCTTGTCAACTTTACGTTAGGCCAGCAGGACTGTCTGCCCACCCTTGATTTGTAGCTAACGAAGGTGGCTCAGAAATTGACTGTTCGTTATCCCGCTATCATTTGCCTTCTTTGGTCGTTCGCTGTCATCATTGGCCGTTCCAGGACCGATGCCGATGTTGGTAATTTTCTCGCGCCCAGTAGCCCACAGTTGCTTGCACACGAAGCTCGACCAAATCAGTTCGCTGGGGAAGAGCCAGGCTGAGGCGAACGAGGAACCCCGACGGACGCTCGCGGCGGCTGCGGCCGTGACCCTCCCGCTTAGCCTATCTCAAGGCCCTAGAGCCCCTACTTTGGTCTAGGAAGGCACGGATACACCCTAGCGAGCCTCGTCCGCCGACCTCTACCGCGAGGTTCTTCCCGGGCGCGTCACCTGGGGTGGGCGGCGCCCGTCATGCCCGTTCTTCCCGCTCTTCGTCCCGTCCCTGGGCCAAGGACACGCCCGTCGATCATGGGTTTTGTTCCACTGGTATCGTCGCCGATTTATCAGCCCACTACCACTTGTGTCTACAGCAGACATGTTTCTCGTCTGGCGACCTTAAATTTTTTTTTTCCAGTGCCTAGGGGGCCACTCTTTTGCGATCCAAGCAATTCAACAAAATGTCTAGCGGCTAGTGTCGAATGTACTGTACGACGAAAGACACGAGGCGTTTCCAGAGTCATTGGTCAAGATCCTGAAGCGTCCAAACCGTGAGCTCTCGCAAAATCCTGGGGCGACAACCTAACCAGAGTACAAGTCACTTGAAGACCGAATTAGGATCGAACAAACGCAAACTTTGCAAGTTTATTTATTCGTCCCTTGCGTCGCGTCCGTTCAAACCCCGAAGTGGACGGTGTCCTTGGCTTGCCCTCAACGTGGGTCTCGCAAATGCCCAAACCGTGAAATGCCGGAGCATTCGCACCGCGGTAGTTCAGCGTCAGCACCTCTTGGGCCAGCAAAGAATTCCCAGTAGATACCCCATGTCTCCGTTTACCACAGCTCACGAACCTGCGCACTTCGATGGCGATTTGCGACATGACTGGCCCGGCGACTGGATAGTCCGGCCTATAGGTATTCAAAAACTACCTCGTGGTTACATGAGGGGTCGGCCAGCCGAAAAGCAAAGCAGAAAAAGCAATAACTACTGCGGACGATGAGGATGATGCAATCAAGACTTTGCACCAAGCATAATCACGTTCGAATGGCGGGCGAGGCTCTTGCCGACCGATGCGCCATCCCAACTAGACCCACCACGTGTCTCACTCAAACCCCTGCACTACGACATGGGTTGTTCTCCCACACTTCATGCGGCCACGCACCTTTCATAATTCTTGTTCACCCCCACCCCTTTTGGCTCTTCCTGGAGTCGTAAGCGGCTGGCTTGTGTCCCCTCATTGATTTTAGTGCGAAAGAGGCAGCTACAGGGACGGACGACCTGTAGCTTGAGGCACAATAGGCGATATGTTCATCAATGTAGTTCTTTCGGAGCGCCCGCAAGACCTCACTGGTGTCCTCCTCCTCATGGGTGCCTGGCAACAGTTTAAGATTCGCTTGGCCTTTGGGGTGTAGGACATGGACTCTCAGAATCGTTTCCCAGCTGGCATCACGGCATTCTCCCTCCCCATGGCCATTCATTGCCTACGCGATGCGTCATTTGCCCAGCAGCTGGACAGCTGGGTTGCCAGTGCTAGTCCGGAGGCTTGGCGAAAAGGATGGAGAAGAAGGCGAGGGCGCATGTGGATTGTTACACCATGGCTTGCCATTCGGCGGCCAGCACATTTGACTACCGTTTAAGCGGGTTGTGGATTACGCGCAACGCAACGAACGGTATGCCATCGTCACGCACTTGACGCACATACTTTCACAAAGTGTGGCTCTCCGAAATTCGTTGGACGGTTGCTGGACGCTGGATATGGTCAGCCACTGACTGCACAGAATACACATAACAAGATCCAAAGCAGACGCCTGCAGCGGTTTGTGGTGGGCAATCTAGGCGCAGTCTTCCACCTGGATGGAACCCGAGGCACGGTATTGGATGGACTTGGGGAGCTGCTTCTGGACCCCCTCACCCCCTCTCCACATCCTATCAACACGCCAGACCAGGGTGCTTCTGCATGCCTACCGCCCTTGTCATCTATCACAAAAGGCAGGGAGCAGGTACCTCGAGTATGGATACCTCCCAGTCGAGCCAGTTGACCATTCCCTCTCTACCGAGTTCAAGAGGACCTTATCCTTCTCCACTGGCATCGGGTTCGTGTCAGGAACTCTTGTCGCCATCTTCCTCCCCTCCAACCGTCGCTGCGTGGGATCTCCTTCATCCGTTCGCATACCGCAGCCCGTGGCGCATGAGTGCAGAGAGGTGTTACATCGGTCTCGTCGGAGGTATCGTTGCTCACCCACCTCCTCTTGATTGCCCTTCTCGACAGGAAGCCATCCACCTATCCGTCCTCGCATCGAATCTTGTCTCCAGCAGCTTGCCCGTGTCTTGAGCAGACACTGTCCGACTAACGGGAGACTGCGTCTGGGCTCCCCCTCCTCCTTCGTCAGCTGCGTCTGCTCGTTGGCTCATCGAGTCACGTCGATCGCCCAATCGTGCTCTGCATCGTCTCGGTTTGCCATTCCATCGCAAGCATCTCCCCTGCGGCTCCCTCTGCACCAAGGTTGGCCTCTGCCGCCGACGTGTGGAGATCGATAGCACTGGCACTGGATCAAGTCACCCTGCCCCAAGCCTCAAACAACCGACATATTGCCATACCTGGCTGGTCGTCCACTCACCTCGCCTCGATCTTCACCTCACCATTGCCTTCATCCTAGGATCAGCCTTCACCACGCCGACACAGGACCCTTTCTAGCCAAAGCCACTAAGACAGGACGTGAACCAGTGGAGAGCTCATCCCCCCGATGTCTCAGACCACACTGCACGCCAACAGGACTGTAAAGCGTTGCTCAACAACACTTCTCTGCCGCCCAGTTTGATCAGTCACCTTGGAACTCTGCTCTCGAACGCCCCATTGCTAGGCGAAATCTAAGCTCCTGTCACCTCTGACAGCTAGAGACTGTGCTTCTTTGTCCATCACCACCGGACAAAAAGCCCTTGCAACAGCCTCTGCCAGCAATTTGGCCTTTCGGCTGGGCACTGCGTTTGCACATCAGCTCTCCTTTTCAAGGCTCCCGGTCCTTCCAACGCGGGCTCCCGTCCGGCCACTTCACTCCCGCGTCAACAGTCACATCACAACTTCTGTCAGCACTCTTCTTTACGGAACCGCGGCCACAAAGTCCACAGGAGCGGTCTGATAATTAACTGACAGCTCGCCATCCTTCTGACGCAGCTCTTTCTTTCTATCTTCTGCACACGCTTGTCATCGGACTACATAGTAACGCGAACTTCATTAACGCAGTACTTGCGACAGCAGCTCGTTCTCACACAAGCCGTATTCCGCCTAACTTGAGCACCTGGTGTCACATCGGCTTCTGATTCACACCGCCGGGCCTCAACCGACATCCGACTGCAGCGGGAGCGCAGTAAGCCAATCCATGCTCTGGTTCTTTCCTCACAGATTAGCACTTTTGTCTGACTCGACCTAGTCATACGTCGTATCCAAGTCGCCTCTGGCTCAGCTCCGCCAACAGATACGACAGAGTGCACACTTGCTCCGCTTGCTGTTCCTTAAAAGGCAGATCGAACAACGACCCTCTCGTTACAGAGTGACCCGGAGCGGAGTCGCCTGAACTTACTTCGCTGTCATCATGGTCAATGTGCGGGGTGACTGGTCAAGAGAGGCCTTCCCCCGACATCAGCCACAATGGCACCAGCACCAAGACCGGAGTGTTGAGACGACATATGATGAAGGGCGTTATCACGAACTAAATGATGCGCGTCGGCCACCTCTTGTGAGATTGAACAGGCAAAAAACACTGGACCGTTCTGACTTCGTTTACTCCAGGACATTGAGAAGGCTCTGCGAGAACACTGCAACATTCCTGCGCGGCACTACTTTGTGGCTGCCATACTCGACGATGGTTCCACGCAAACATTCTCTGGCCCAGGTCGAAACCACCCAAGCTCTGCCAGTTCATTCTTCGACATGGATCGTTTTCGACAGCAAGTGAGGAGAGCAGACGCGGGCGGTACGTCTATGTTAACATGCAACCCTTGGGCTACGCGTACTTACACATCACAGCCATTGGCCCCATGCACGATGATCCTGAACTGAGCTATGCCAGTGAACAGTACAGGCAACAAGCGCCATTAGGATATGGATCCAGCGCAGCAGAGAGACGTCGACAGGGCAGCGAGGTATTCGGTTCTGACGATTTTTCTCAACCGCGAAAGAGGGCTAGGGCGTACCGGAGACCCATCGATGACGATAGCGACATCCCGTCTGTGACGATGGGCCCTGTGACAAAGGGGCTGAAAATAGGCGACACCGATGAGGTGAGGAAGTTCTACGATCAGCGATTCAGGAACTGCCAACAGACAGCCTGTAAGCTCATCGCCAAAGCTTGGGTTAAAGTAGTCGAGCCCAAGAAACAGACAAACCATCCTTACACTGGACAAGAGGAGAAGGCACCGGACTGGTGGCCGAAACCCTGGGGCACGACGAAGGAAGAAAAGGTTCGGCACAAAGAGCCTGATCATCTTTACAAAAGAGGTATATGGCTCACAACAGCCTCCCCATGAACCCCCCCCCCCCTCTCCAAAAGAAGTCTGCCTATTAACGCCCGTACAGAACGTGTTTACCTGTTGTGCCACATCCTTCGAATGATAGTAGAGCCCAACGAAAAACAGCACCCATCTATTCAGAAGATGAATCTTACGGTCGAAAAACTCAAGGAAGCGACAGAGGAAGCCTTGTCCATGTTTTTCTCTGCCAAGGAGAATCAGAAGAACGCCAAGAAGAAGCCGTATCTGGATGAGATTTTTAAGGTTGCGCTCAGCGAACAGCGGTTCAAGCATGGAGAGATAGGTATTTCACCCTCCGACCATGGCCGCAGTGACGATGCACGCTAACCGATCAAGATGCGGATACACAGGTCTTCGTCATGGCCGAAGAGCGATTTCCAGGGGCTGGCATGTCGGAACACGATGACAGTGCTCCCGTCAAGGATGAGTGCGAACCTCAGTCGGCTTCCAGCACGTCGCCTTCCAAATCCACTGCGACCCATGACACCCTTATGCACGGTTCAAGTCACGACCACAGCCCTGCCGGGGGGCTTCAGGGCAGCTCGTACATGGATGGTCTGCCTCCTCGCGGAGGTGCACCGTATACGCAGCAGCTGCTTCAGCCCAGCATGCACGCGGACCAGCACTTTGTCGATAGCGAAAGACTTCATTCGTCAAGCGGTATACCGATGCATGATATCGGCCCTGGCCCTCAAGATGGCCACCGCAGGGCTTCGCTCTACACTTCACCTACCGAATATGCCAACCCACAGTCTGCGGGCATCTACAATCAGTCGTGGCAGCCAGGGACAACAGCGCCTGGCCCGGCCTCTATCTACCCATTTTCGTCGACGCCTACTCCGCCTAGCCAATTCAACAATCATGCTGGCGTGCCACTCGCCCAAACTCCTTTCATTGCAGCACAATACGACGGCCTCTCGCGGGGAAACTTTGAACAGGGCGGTATGTTCCCATCCGGAACAACTGCAAACCAGGGCCATGTACAAGGCTCTCAGGGTTTCCCCACGTACACACTAGGCCATGATGGACGGTCCATGTCCAATGCCGGCGTCAAGTCTGACACGCTGCCTCGGCTCCAATAATTTCGGTGCTTCTAGTCAGGTTTTCATCACCAGGAGGGACGGCAAAAAGCATAAATTCCGGCAGGGCTTCTGATTCCTCAACACCAGTAAATACCAGGCGCAAGGTTATCCTACATATCATGGCGATCAAGATTGTGCGTTCTGAACTTTGTTGTTTCCTCCTGTTTGGAAGGTTGGGCGAACCCGTGGGTTGGGGCGATTCTGTCTGTCGTGCGAAGGTTCGCACTTGGGCGGGCCGACGGCACGTCACATTTGGCTATGCGATGCGAGCGTCATAGTTGCGTTTGGTTTTTGTTTGGTAACCGGTTTTGCTTTTGTTTGTTTAGTTGGTCCTCCACAGAACGGGCGCCCATGTCAAGCAAGGGAGCGGAGGAAAGGGAGCGAGAGGGATTAATGATTTGTGAGTTTCTTCCATTGCTCTGTCTATCTCGGAGGGGGGAGCGTGACGCGAGCCAGAAGGAGGCGTAGCAGCACGTATAATCGGCTGTATGGCTTATGTTTTGAGATACTCATTTGCAGGAAGACTCCGGCGGAACGGACAGGACGTTGGATGTGTCGGTTCATTGCTTGATGAATTGATGACTGCCATGGGCACGATGGGCTGGCTGGGGCGGCCACCAAGGCTCTTCCCAAATGACAAGGCTTGTTTTTGTTGAGCCACGATTTCCGCGACTACAGTGTGACCAAGATACTTGCAAAGCGCGCCGGCTGGCGTTCCGACCAATATTACGAAGAATGACAGGTTCCATTGAGAGCAACTCCATGGCAGCCGGGCCACCTGCGACCAAGACCAACGTGACGTGACGTGACGTTCGTGACGAGCCAAGTAGCAAGCAAGCAAAGCAGCAACAGAACCATTACGTCAGGTCCCTCCCATGATGGCCACGCCTAGACGCATCTCTGGATCACTCAACCGCAGGTCGTGGGATCGAGACAACTCCACTTCATCGCCAGACACTAGACACGCGACGACCGGAAAAGAGCGAGATTTGATACATCGCATATCAGAAATGCCATCTGGCCCGGGATATGGCTCCCGCGCGACACGCCATCACGTTTTTGATCCTAGGGGCACGGCAGAGCAGGAGAAGGCGCGATGGTACACACCCAGCGGAAGGAGCCGCGCTTGACCCACGCCCCTCCCTTTAAAACCTTGTCGATGGGGATGATCGGGTGGATGTGCGCAGGGCGAGAAGGGAGAGAAGGGGGGGGGGGCGGGCGGCGGACACCGAAGCATTGCCCATGGTGTTTGTTCCTCTGTACCCCGCCCAAACCGTGGTACTGTAAGGGAAATAGGGCAGCAGACCCCACCTAGCGCGGGCTGATCCCGGTCACCGGTCCGACCGGTGAGAGAGTGGATACCCCCCTTTCCCCGGGAGCAGCCGCGGGCCAGGGTTCGTTTGCCTGGACCGGACTTTTTCTTTGGGCCTGAGTCTTGAATTCTCCTCAACCTGCTCCCGATCTCAACCAAGATTTTTTTACCCCCCCTCCTCTGGTGTTTTAGACTTTGGCGTCCCCGGTTTTTGGAGGGAGGGGGGGGTGTCATTCTTCTTCGGGAGCAAAACTTGAGAATTGACAGAAAGCTGGCTGGAGTAACACCCCCCTCCCTTTCAGATCACATCGCGCACACCCATCATTCCCGCTCCCATTCTTTGGAGGTGGGGGAGGGGGGGGGAGGGACGCCCCACGATTCCCTTGATTAGCTAGATCTTGGGTTCCCGTCATGCTGGTGGAGATATCTGGGAATCGTGTCAAGCCAGCAAGGGTGGGTTGCAGTTGATCTTCTGGTCAGATTGGCACTTCCTTCCGGCTGGAGGCTCTGACTGCCGAGGGAAGAGAGGGGGTTCCAGGTTCAGATCTTGGGGAGAGTGAGTGAAAGGCTGAGCGAGGGCTTGAGGATGATACTACCAAGGCCATGTGACAATGTAAATTATGCTAGAGCCTGGTGACCGGGGTCCCATTGCGTTGTGGATAAACTCCAAGTTCTGTCTTGGGCGTCGCGAACGCGGGAAAAGAAACGAGCGATTCTTCAGCCATGGGCCTAGGCCATAGGTTTGAGTCTGGGGGCGTCCATTGTTTGACGACCATCGTCGGCGCACGCGGCCAAGCTGCACCGCAAAGCCTTGCCAGGGCTCCTCCTTAAGGCGAGGCAAGCAAACAGCAGGCTGGGGCCTTGCTCATGCCTCTCACCTTTCATTTGTATGCCTCTTTGTCCCTTTTTTTCTGTCTGCCTGTCAAATGAGAGTCATGCTAAAAACCCGACTGATCACATCTCGCCTGTTTGCTTGTGAGCCCCGTCAAACCTACATAGGGGAGTCTGCAGCAAGCTGGTCGCGCCAACACGACTCAGCGCCCTCAGATCCATGTCAATAGCTCGCACCCACATCGCCCGCCCCCCTCTTATTGTCGGTCGGGGAACATGAAAAAGAGCTGATGCAGTCGACAAATGAAACGGAAGTAAACAGTTCGAAAGAAGACACCTGCAGAGTGGGGGTGTTCCGTTCCAGCTACCGGGTTGACCTTGGTTTCCTTCCCCCCTTCCTCCTTCCCCCCCTTCCTCCTCCCCCCCCGTAAAACCACCGTGGCCAGGTTGCCTTGCAGACCAAACATACTCTGCACAGCAAGCACGCAAGCACGGCACAAAACGAAACAAGGCAGACGGAGCAGAATTTCGATCGGCTGCAACCTCTGCATGCGGGGCCATGCATATACATACACAAGCCTGCTCTACCCCCCTTGCTACGGTGGATGCCGCGCTGATCCTGCACTGTTCGTGGGCTGTGTTGCGAGAAGCGGGTGGTGGCGGAAAGGAGGAGAGAGAGAAAGGAACTAAGAAAGAAAGAAAGAAAGAAAAACCAAGTTGCATCGCGTGTTGCGGATACTGGCCCCCTTCATGCAAGCAGCGTGCCGTCTCATCCGCGCATGCCGTTCTCCGCCTCTGGCCATGGGGTGGCGGGGAATCAGTTTGCACAGTTTGTGCTGTAAGGTGTCGATAGTCTCCGGTACACAGCGTCTCCGGTGGGCAAACGGAGCTAAACGCGGCGATTGGGCCGTCACATATATAGGAGCTACGCCGCCCGCCCGCCGGATGACACCGTGCCCGGGCTGCTGGCTGGGTAGCGAGGAGGCGGCCTCAGGAGAGGCCGAACCTTGCCTGAGAAAGCCGCACCATGTTTCCACCTTGTTTTCTTCTTCTTCTTGGTGCATGCTGTAGCTTGACATAGGTTCGAAGTCATACAGGGGATGCCTTGGCTGATACCTTGTCCAGAGAAATCCAGACCAGAGGGAACGTATCGAACCTGTCAGGCCACTGGTTTGAACCATTCGAACGACGTGTCTCTTTTGGCACTTTGGCATTGCAGAAAAAAAAGAGCCCCTCGAGAAGGGGGGAAGCACTCTATCAGACAGAATACTCCGACACAGTACACGCGCGCTGATGAAATTCCTGGTGCGCTTCAGAACCCCTCGTCCAGCCTCCCTGTCAGCCTGCCTGCCTTGTCCTTCCTGAATTAGTGGCGACCACTGCTCCGACTACCGGCAGTGCTCGCTGAACGCCGAATGCTTATACCAACGCCGATGGAAAAGACAAGTAGATAATTCCAGACGATGCCTTCCTATTCAAGGAAGGCGCCGTATTCGCACACGCTCCAAGTCATCAACACAGCCACATTCGTCTCGAGATAAATCATCTCCACTGTAGGGAAAGGAAGGCTAAAAGTCAGCCCCGCCACGTCCGTGGGTCAACTGACGACTGGTAGGCTTCACGGCACAGGGAAGCTGCCTAGGCTACGTATGATCCGAACACAACATGTCTGAGGTTGACCTCTTTGTGTAACCATGTCCGCTAAAACCGCTGTGTGGCGACTTATACAAGCCATGCAGACCACAAGGGAAGTGCGGACGACGCGGGAGCCTCGGACGTCTCCTGCTGCGTGCTCGGCGGGGAAGATGAGGAATGCCGAGGTTGGTGAGAACGGACATTCTAGATCGCTGCCGGCGCCTCGTCCTTGTTTTGCTGAGGCAGCGAGAGGCCGGCGTTTTGAGCCACGCGTTTCCATGTCTCGAGCTCCTTGTAGAGACGTTCAGA